GGCAGCAGAACGCCTTGGAGCCTTTGCCCTTGCCCTTGCCCTTGCCTGGCGATTCGATTGCTCGACAAAAGGGAGCATGTCACGCGTTCCCAAACACACCTGCACTGCATTGATGCATGAAAGCCCAGGGACGCTTTCTGTTTGGCTTGCTCAAGATCCCTAATCTCTGTCAACAAAGAGAATATGCGAGTAGCCGCCAGTTGGCTTCCATTTCGCCCTCACCATGCTTCGTCCTGCCCTGTTGGCCTTTGCTGGAGCCTTTGCTGGAGCCTTTGCCTTTTGGCTCGCTGGACTTTCCTTTACCCTGAACAGTTCGTTGGTGCGAAGCTGCTTTCATGACCATCGCATTTGATAGAACAAATGAGCTTCAATGCAACTACAGTAGATACCCCTCGGAGTCCAAGACTATTTGTCACGTTCAAATGTTCTTTAGATCTTTTTACTGGGTGATTAAATATCGTCTTTGCACTTCTACGCTACTATAGTTCAGTGGGAGACACAACCGATTTGCGTTTTTGTCGGAATCATGCCCTCCTGCAGAACATGAATAGTTGAGGGCAGAAACCCAACTTACCCGAGATATCAAAGTCAGCCGGCCTTGCCGCGGCCTTTGCCTTTCCTAGAGCGCAGGAGAAAAGGAACTTGGATCCAAAAAAGACTGAGTGTTCACATGCTGTCTCCTTTCCTCTACCTAACTACGTAAGGTGTTGCGATCCCTGAATCTCATAGCCTATGTAGAGGCGCTGTTCAATAGAAGCTACCGCCATCTCTGTCCAGCATTCGACAAGTCAACACCCACGTGGGCGGGAGATCAACACTCCACGAGCCTGGTGGCCCCCTAGAATTTACCACATGGTCGATCGCGCCCCGACTCCATTTCTGGCAAGTGGCCCGCGTCCCCGACCGCGGCCCTTGCCCTTTCCACGGCCTGCGTAGCAGTCAGAGAGCAATATAGAGCAGTCAGGTCCCATTACGCGACGTGAAAGTTTTGCAAAGTAGCTTGGGAATCGGTTTCCTCATTCTTGATGAATGCAGCTTGGGATATCTTGGAAATGTTTGCCAAAGAATGCTGTTGAGGCAAACCTTTGTTGGAGAATGAGTCAAAAGGAGAATGCATCTTGGAGAGCATAGGAGAGCCTTACCTTTGTGATCAACCCAACCTGTCGCCCATCGAACTATCTTCCGAATGGTTGCTAGATCCAGGTAGATTCCAGGGTAGATGTGGAGATTCCACCAAAGTCAAAGTCTGCTGTTCCTAACTGACAAAAGACCTGTCATGGACAAGCTCAAAGACATGACGCTTGTCCAAATTTGGCAAGCCTTGATGGATGGGCACAAGCATTGGTTGGGTATTTGGGGTGCACTACAGTGCACTTATATCAAGTGACTCCACTTCGGTACAGCCGCTTGCCAAATCCAGATATTGAACATGTCCTGAAAAGAGTCGCTTGTTTATACTTTGTCTGGTATGAATCAGAACTTCTGTATCGCTTTCGAACCAAGGAAAGCAATCTGCGGAGGCATACCAGTTGTAAAGGTATACCGGTATACCCCCAAAAAAGTGTGAGAAATATCAAACGATCAATCCAAACTGTGGATGCTCCCTGACAGTGGTTCTTCTTCCCAAATCAAGCTCATTATATACACCTCGCAGCTCGCATTCCTGCACACAGCTTCAAAATCCAAAATCATGTGCCTCGACACGTCAAGTGTCAGGAGGCTGGAAATTCCCCAAAAAAGGTGTTTGATGATGGCACACGTACAGCAAGCTGAGATGAGACCTTTGGAAGACCAATCTGAACATGTCTACCTGGGATTGTCCGTCCTAGCCTTTGCCCGAGCTGGCTCCACGCCCTCTGCCCCGAACCATGTCCTGACCAGAACAGGCAAAAAGCTATTGCTGATCTGTTCACAAACAATAGCAAACAAGCCAACTCGGCGCAACACCACTGTGTCCTCAGGGTCGAATTCTTTGACCATGGACTCGTCGATCGGTGGCTGGTAGCCCTTGTCGCTGGTGTCCAATGGATCCTGTAGGGAAGGATCGATGTTTTTTGCGAACAAAAAACCTGCAAAAACCTAACACTCTGGACCTAAGGAACTGGAGTCCAACCCCACACCCGTTTCGAGAAATGCTGAAGTCGGGCCTGGTGGGTCCCGCTTTCGAGATCTTTCAAGTCTTACTTCCACAGGATCTTGCCTCATACATCACACCCTCACAAGAGTCTTCGCAAAGGTCCTTTGAAAGCTTGATCTCGATCACAGACACACTGCGAACGTCCGTGACCTTGAATGCGAGGGCTGGTCTTCTTAGTCTTGAGGAGGAAAAAAGACAACTCATCTATCATGATTGGCTAAATGCTTTTTGCAAGGCCTCTTTCATGAGCTAGTTGGATTTGGCGTTTTTTGTTGACCTTCCTTCTCACGTCTCAACACTCTCAATGAAACAAAAATCCCGGACTTTGTAGTGACATGCAGCATGAGATTGGCCTTGTCCAGTCCTTCTTCAAGTGGTTCGTACTCGTCTGTAATGTCAACCTTTGCTGGCCAAGTTGGAGGGATGCCAAGTGAGTGAATGTGTTGCTAGCCCATGGGGCAGATCGTCAGAATATAATCCGACTGTTTTCCTAAATAGCATTAGGCCTTTGAGTTCTCCTGCAAATATTGTGGTAGATCCCCAATTCCCTGTCAGCGGTATGTGAAGCTAGTTTTCATCATTCCTGATTAGTCTTTCTCTCTCCAAAGAGAGAGAGAGAGAGAGCAATTCAGGATGATGTTGACGATGATGATTACAGCTTGATCATGAGGCGAAGCAAAAATGATAAGAGTCCAACATCCAAAATATGACGCTCCACTCAACTCTTCCGTCGTTCATCCATGTTCATACCACACCCTGAAGCCAAAAGAAGGAGTGGCACAGGTGCCTTTCAGCGTCCACGTCCAGAAACCTTGACCCCAGCATCCAAGTCGCTGTTTTCAGCTCAGTGATTTGGTGCAGGCCCTTGAAGCGCCGTTTGATGACCTGTCAATGAAGTATGAAATAAACATGTTGCGTATCCTTCATATCAACATATCCCAAGAAACTATGACGTACACCGAGAGCCACAGTATGTGTGACAGCCGCACCCTCTTGATCAAATCCTGAGGAGATATATAGTACGAGTAAAACCAACATGACTTGAATGCTTCCCAGGATAAAATCTCACTTGCGGTGGTTCTTTCCAGTTTAACCTCCGCCCCACAGTTGTCAATGCCTCTGCAGCTGTCACTGCTTTAGTCAAGGCGTTGCCAGTGGCTTGCACGATCACCTGGGGGAGACAGCTCCATGATTGTTGATATGCCCTATACATATTTAAATATATATATATATGTGATATATACGATTATATATGTATATAATATTATATGTCGATGGTGGTCAAGAAACTAACCTGCAACAACCTACATTGCAGTTCAAATCTGCACATGTCACTCCTCCAAATACATATAGATTGCTGTTCCCTGCCGAGCTGAGGTCTTGTCATAGGGCTTCTTGAGCTCATTGAATACGGTGGCCGCACGAGAAACGTACGCCTCCAAACACTGTCAGTCAGCTGTAGCTGCAGCTGTGTCAAACAATCCACCATGTATTGTTACAGGGGGTGTAACTAACTGTTCCGTACTGTCACCTGTAGGGCCGGGCTTGCAGAGACATTTGCATCAGTATTAGACCTGTGTTAATCTTTGTTCACGTCCAGAGTCAGTGCCACCAAGTCCAAGACCTTGTTCAAGACCTCTGCAGTGAACTGGCACTGTCAGTGGAGGGTCAAGTTGGCAACCACACGTTCAAAGGCGAGATGGACTCAAAATGGGCTTGAAAGACTTGTCTTGTCTCATCTCCTAAAGTTGGAGAAATGTAGTGGAGAGAAGTAGGAACTGGTTGATGAACTGTATGAACATCAGCAGCTGCTTGGAAAAAAAAAAGAACATACGCCATCTGATGATTTATATATATATATTAATATAATTGATAACGCTGAGTAGCTCCCTTTACACGGCTCAAAAAAAACAATCACAACTTGTAGCCGTTTGTAACCAAGAGTTCAGAGATATTAAGAAAGTCATATTGTAAACCCTCCAAGGAGGTGGTTACATGCTATGAAAAAAGGACTGTGTCAACCTGGTATTTCCGATTGCCATCTTTGCCCTTTGACTTCAACTGGGCAGGCGCACAGACACGCTGCCGGCAGCAGTCACGCGGATCTCTTCATCCGTCTTCTGGATCTCCTCCTGCGAGCACGCTTGCATGACCAATCCTCGCCTGGTGCTTTATCCAGCCCAGGGCAAATAACAAAAAGGATCAAAAAGGTGGTTCCCCAAGTCCACAATGGGTGCAGAATCTGGTTGCGAAACACATTTTGCTTAAATAGATGGTGATACATTGCTGCACGAAGACACAAATCAGACACTGCTCGAAGACCATGTCCCTTTTTCCTTACTCCAAGCACCAAGGGTCACAAGGTTATGGTCCTTGGGTTTCATCACCTTGCGGTACTTGTCCATGGCGAAGATTGGACGATCTGGGCCAGTCACGTGGAAAAGCAACGGTGGAAGCCATCCGGACGCAGAGAGAGGCGTGGGCGTTGAGAGTTATTCGTGAACAAACATTTCGAGAGATTTGTTTATGGGGAGCGGAACCTCTCACAAATCTTCACCAACAAATGGCTTGGTTTACCGTTAGACTCGGCAGCTTAAGCATTTGTGTAGCTCTCACAATGAGAAAAACACTGTCAAGCAGCCAAGGCACTTGATCACAACCGTGAACTGCAGGCAAACTGTGCCAAAAACCACCGCAATCAGCGGCCCCCGAGTGTGCCCTACAAAATGGCCGCAGTAGCATGCGGATTCGCTGCATGATTTTGGCAGGCTTCACAAGTATGTCCATCAGAGACCAAGACTATCACGCACTGCATGTCAACTGCGACACACGTGCAAGCAATGGAGACATGTGGCCATCATGCAGTTTCATCTACATCTCTACTTGGCATGGTTCATCGCTAGTAGGTTGGAGGCCGTCGCTAGTATGTTGGAGGCCATTGAAGGGCTTAAGGATGCTCAAGGACTTTTTGGTCTGCCGATGCTGACACCAGCCCTGTCTGCATGGTTCCAAAGGCTCTCTGTCTCACAAAAAGTTGTGGCCGCACTTGGAACCTTGGGCAAAAGCAGCAGAAAACAAATTCTTGGGCGAGAGAACTTGAATCATGTGTAGATTGATGTGTGAGAGCCACCAAGGCTTTTATATGTGTATCTGCTCCCAAGTGCCCCTTAAATGTCCAACAGCAAAATCACATGCCCAGTCTGTGACGAGAAGCTCTTGCATTTTGATGTACAAAAGCGATAAAGGCTTCAGCCAAAGATCTCTCTGCCTTCTCCTGGGATATTCTGAAGCGGACTGCGGACTGCGGACTCGACTCATTGGGCCGCATCATTGGAAGACAAGGCAATGCAATTGTCTAACAGCAGATATGTCCAGAAAAAGGAACAAGCCAATGCTGCCTCAGTTGTAGTAGTAATAGTTGTAGCCGCCGCTCTTGCTGCTCTTACCTGTGGTCCACTGATCGCATGGCTGAAGAAGCGCAGTCTTACCACACCAATCAACACGGTCCGATGAAACACAACAAGTCTATGAAGCAAACGTGGGTCCCTTGGATAGTTTGGTGATGCTTGTTGTGGGGCAGATGGCACCTACGATGACCCCAAAGCACCCAAATCACCCCGATTAAATCACCTCAAGAAACCGTCCCAAACCAAAAACCATCCCAAACCGTCTTTTTTTCGAACTCCCTGTTGGACGCGTTCGCTCTGCCTGAGCCTTTGTCTCTGCCCTTGGATCCTTTGCTTCCTCCCTTGCCTTGGCGAATCGGCGACTTCAACAGCGATGGATGGACCTCCTTCCAATCCAAGGTACTTCCACTTCCATAGTTATCATAGGAGGTGCTTCCCCAGCCCCCCCCTGCCGTAGCTCTTGTCCTGTCAGTCTGTGAGTACCAACCATGCGGAGAATCCGTTTCATCCCGTGAGTAGAGTGGCTCCATTGGAGCCTCAACGCGCTCTAAAACTCGGAAGGTTTCAATAACAAGCAAATCCTGTCATGGGTCATCTTTGGGAAAATGTCATATTCCCTTTTTCCATCTCTACAAGAGGATCACATGGTCTGGGTCTTCAAAACCCAAGAGTCACTCCTGATAGCTCCAATCGTCATAGGACCGCTCATAGGATCGGCCCTTGCCTCTATGACTCAGGGATGTGTGTTGTTGTTTTTTTTTTGAAGAGAGACTGTCCTTAAAGCAAAGAATTCACACATCAATCATCATAAAACCAACAAATATGTTACCAAGAGTTCTTGAGAACGCTTTGGGAACGCAAGTGGAAAGCTCCCGCTGAGCAACATGTTCCAACCTCTGTTCCAACCTCTGTCATTGATGCCTTGGCTCCAAGCCTGAGGAGCCCTTGGAGCCCTTGGGCTTGGAATAAGAGTCCTGGCTTGGCAGTGGAGTGGATGATGACACGGAGAATCATGGAAAATCAAGATGCTGTACTAATAGTAACAAGAAGCTACTAGTAACTTACTGCTGAAGACTTTGGAACTCCCAAAAACTCCAGTCCTCCCATGACTTGCTCTTGGACTTTCCCTTGCCCTTGCTGCCCTTGCCCTTGTCACTCTTGCCTTTGCCCTGGCCAAGAAATTCAACGCCACCAAATTCACAAAATCATGTACAACTTGCAAAAAATGTTTTGACTCCAAGTGTTGAATTGAGTCT